GTTTCTTCAGAAGTTGAAGTGATAGGAACAGGATTGATAGAAGAGGAAGAATGATGTGATTGAATATGAAGAAAGTTAGATTTTTTTTATGAGTTTGTAAAATTTCTGCGCGAAGCTGACTCATTGCAATTACTTTTTCTAGCTGTTAATAAAAAAAAAAAAATGTTAATATAAAAAAAAAGTTTATAACAAAGTAAAACTTACTTTTAATTTATTTCATAATGGAGAGTGCAAAAAACCCATAGTAGAAAAAAGTCTTTCTATTGAGGCTGTTTTAACGTATATGCCAAATAATTGACATGCAATATGACTCAATTCTGATGCAATACCAGAATTGTGTGACCACCAAAGAACAATATCACCCTTAAATTGGCTAAATATTTTCTCAATAAAAGGATACTTTTTCTGCTTGTAAAGCTCAAGTTCATGAAGTAAATGATTTGAGTCAGTACCAAACCAAGCCTTATAGTAATATGATAACTATGTATCCATATGGGTAAAGTTAATATATAATTGTGTTTGATCAAAATAATTTAGCCGATATAAAGGATGAAGAACAAAAGAGAGAAGAAGTAGCGGTTGTTCCCAAGTAGCCCATCTCTTCTCAAGCCTTTCAATAATTTTGGTTCAAAATTGTGATACTTCAAGTTCTTTAAATATTTGCATAATAAAGCTGAAAGAATATAAAACATTATGAAGATGGGCCTTGTCTCATTGCATAAGGTCAAGAGCTTCACAAAATGGATAAAATATATTATGTAATATAACAAGTGATTCCCAAAAAGAGTCATGATTAACTGTAACTTTAATATTGTTAGAAAGTCTCAAATCATTATCTGAAGTCGCATCATCTTTGGTAACAAGAGTCTAACAAAAAAATTTTTTTTTTAGTAGAACACTATGGTTCCATCTTTTTAAGTAAAAAATTAACTAAAAATCTAAAATTTAATTTTAAATATACCTTTAATGGATGTTTTCTTTTAAGGATGCTATCAAAGCATTCAAAATAACTATTCTACCTTGTTATACTTGGCATAGCGAAATTAATATATTTTTTTAAAATACCTTTTTGTTCATCACGAAGTTTGGTAGTAAAATATACAGAACGATAAAAAAAAGTAACAATACGAATTGCATGTTTACTTGTATTTTTAAGTATTGCAGATTCATTAAATATATCACCAATACAACAATTTGCCTGGTGGGCAAAACATGGAATAAACACCTTATCACGCATTTCACATCTCAAATAATGATGAGCTGCTGCATATGAACCAGCCAAGTCAGTTACAAGACAGTTTGCTCTTATATTTAATTTTTTTACCTCTTCAAAAAGATTACAAATTCTAGATATTACTTCTTCTTTTTGCTATCTTTCAATACTAATATTTTCTGCTTCCCAAATTTAAGTTTCTCCCGAAGATGTAATAAATACTATGCCTATCAATTTCTGATTTACAATATTGCGCCAACCATCAAAAGCAATTGTAATACTAATTTTATCATTGCAAGCAAGATCTTTAATTGTTGTCTGAACTTCATTAGTTGCATTCATTAAAATATAATTGCTAAGTGATTTTCGGTTAGGTAATTTTATATATGGAGAAATAAATTGAAATAATTTTCTAACTTTAGGATTTTCTATCCATCGGAAGGCAAATCCAGCTAAAACTGTAGCACAAAGTACAAGACGTTCAAATTTGGGAACTTCTGATACATTAAAAGGATGACCAATATATTGAGATAGTGTTGTTTGTTTTTGTAAAAAGGATTCTACAATATTATTAGATGTTGATAATGAATTAGAAGAGTGAGTTGATGTTGTTGAAATTGAATCCTCCTCATCTTCTTCATCTATATGAGATATTGCCATACGCTTTTTTGATGTTGAAGTGACCAAAGCCAAGTTGATAATATTTTGTATTTGTTCAGGTGAATATTTTATGGCAAAGTAAGGACAATCCTTAAGATAACTAGAACAATAACATAAAGTATTAGTAATTTTCATATTCTCATCTTGCAGAGCAACCTCTTTTCCCACCACATCCATACATGCTCTACAAATGCATTTTCGGTTACTTTTATTTGCCCACTCATTGGGTATAATACAGAAGTATTCTGTAAGCTGATGTGGTGGCTTTTCTCCTTTGCATTGCATAATTTACAAGATGGCAAAACGATTGAATAATTGATTAACAAAAAGGTTCGAACTAGAGTATAAGAATTGGTACTGTATTCTGTAAGGTTGAATGATTAATGATTATCGCTATTTATTAGTGTTTAAAATCAAAGGTATACTGGCTTATATTATTGTATTACACCACCTACCACTAACCAATATCTTTTAAATCGAGTTACTGTTATTATAACTTAAGAAATCTGAACAATTACAAGTTCTTTACTTGAACTAGTTCGAAACATATAACAATCGTATGACAGTTATTGATTGTTTTATTTTTATTTTTAGCTTGAAAATTATCGATTGAAACTTCATATGAAAAAAAAAATTGAAATTTCCCACTAGCCGATACATATAAATCTTGATTTTTCAAGTTGCACTTAACTTTTCGTTATAATTTATCACCTGCATAAACTAAACTAATTATGAATATTGGTTTCAAAAACTTATGATGATACTATGCAGGTAATCAATTTATGACGAAAAGTTTAGATTATATGTATCGGCAGGTTGGTCAATTTTTTTTCTTATGAATGTTTTGAACAAATGGCAAAAAGGTTCTCATTTTAAACGATATATGCTTTCAAGGGATAATTTCCAAGCTAAAAATAAAAATAAAATAAGCAATAAACGTATGTACGCCAAATTGATCTATATTAATTTTTTTATATAGTTTTCACCTTGGTCATGTGCTAAAATAATAGAAGTAAATTAGCATCGGATAATCATCGGACATTGGAAAATTGTCCGAATTGTCCTATGCAACGTGATCGGACATTGTTCAGTGACAACCATAGCTGCGCCACATCGGATATCGGAATTGCATAGGACAATTCGGAAATGTCCGATGTCCAATAAAAAATCACCGGATATAGCTTGCACAACCCTGAAATCTGCTACGTAAATCACATTAGGGTGAAATCCGCGTTTGTTTTTTATTATGCAAAAGCGAATTTCACCCACATGTGATCTACGTAGCGAATTTTACTAATTCACAGAGGGGTTTCACCCTGTCATATAATATTTATCATCTAGCAACAGCAATAAAAGCTAAATCACATCACTTTGGAATAACAGGAATAACGAATTGCTTCTTTATTTAAATGAACATAATGTTAAAGTAGCAACTAATCTTTGAAATTATAACAATCATAATAAAGTGTTAAATTACATAATCTGATACAGTAAGTGCACCTGATTTTGGGATCGACTAAAGCCATTTGTAAAATAAAATTCTCGATCTTCCGATTTTGATCGTAATGTGATTGGATCGTGATTGTATGTGAATTGAATACGTACTGTAATACGTAGTGTCTAGTTTTCGAATCTCAAACTTTTATATCGCACTACTTTGCAAAGTGCGATAAAATAATTAATCCATCTAATAAAAATGTGAACTTACACCTACGTATTACTAAAATTATAAATCTACCGTACCTAACTACGCATTAAATTCATAAATCTATCCAGTTCATCTTTATAACGAACCCTTTCATAATGAATCCGCTCTATGATCACTCCATGATAAACTTTTTTAAAATATTAATTAAAGTTCGGTGTAAGAACATAGTAAATTATTTCCATATGGAACTTTCAAAAATTTTTGCTATAAAAACTGTCAGTTCATTATAAGAAAGGTAACTGTATACGACTTTCTTTTATATCCGTTTGTTATACATAAATAACGGCTTTATGTTTAGAGACAGGATAAACAAGCGATTACAACTCATTCATGTTATAGTGAAGTTCTTAGGCTGGGAAAACTTTCTCTACAATTTATATCGAGAGAACATTAGATATACATTAATAATTCTCTAATCCAAAATTCTTCATATCAAGAACAAGGGTGAGCTATATTTATGCATACTGGTTCTTCCGTTATTTAACTCGTGATTATATTTTTAGAATTCTACAATCTTTCATAGCTTCGTACGAATTGTTTACTTGTGTTAATTTGGTTCATAAATCCAATTAAAGCAGAAGCTTACTATAACGAGCTTCTTTGGACATAACAAACTGTAAAATTTAATTTATATTATTAATTTTGTTTACATATTCAAAATTTTAATTTCATTTGTAGAATTTAATTCATGTTTTACTGTTTATTTTATCGGTCCCGTGAGTCCTATAATTACGATATGGTAGTCACTTCAACTCTGTCATATACGTGGGATTCATTTTAATATATTTCACTTTTATTGATAAATAGTTTCACAAAATATGACGAACATAAGGTGGTTATCCATGCTTTATTCACGGACTCATGGAGCTTAAAAAGTTTCGAAGATCGTCAATTTAACTAATTCGAGAAGAGCGATAAATCTGTTTGCGACTATTATTTAGTAATCAAGTTTAATTTTAGGGCATATCTATTTTTGTATTTATTCTAGTCTAATAGTACTGGCCTCACCTTTTACGATAGAAAACAATTAAGAAAGCTTTCCCTTCCAAAAAAATTTAATATTCAAATAATAATAATTATAAAGGATTGATAAAAGCACAAAAATAAAGCTTGATAATTTAAATTTTCCGAAGAATTATAAGGTCGAAATATTATGTTACTGTACGTTCGATTTGTGGTAACGCTGGGACTTTTAAAATCTTCTACTAAAATCGTTCGTCGATGTCACGAACCCAGTGTATAAAATCAATGTGCACAATGTGCTCAGTGCACATATTTTTTGTAAAGTTATATATAAAAACATATTTTGTAATTTAGATTTTATACACTGCACGAACCCACTCGTCATTAAATTTAAAAAACGCAATAAATTATTTATAATGGTTGTTTTTCTTTATGTGTAGCATTTGAATTCGATAGAGTTAGTTAATAAACCCATATTAAAAACAAAATTTGACCGATATTGAAATATCATATTAAAAAAGAAAAAAATTTATCATAATTCGTCATACTGTATATTAATTAATAATTTTTCTGTTTAATAAAAGTTAGTCAGAAATAGAGTAGCGATCCGGATGACTATATCCGATCTGATGCAGATATTATTTAAACAGATATATCCGAATCTGATATTAGATCAGATCGGATTATTTGTTATCTTTTTACAGATATCCGACTAATACGTTAAAATTTTGAAGATTATACCAATAACATAAATAATACATATTTATTTTTACAATGATAATTTTATCACGATAAATTCTATGCAAGAATAATAAATTTATTATTATATAAAGTCAGCTAAACAATAATAGATAATACATTATTCGGGATGAATATTTTGATATTGATCGATATTTCTTTTTAAAAACAGCATTCTTTTAAAAAGCTCTGGAGAAATACGGGTTCTCTTTGATGTCATTAAGTTACCAGCATCACTGAATAAACGTTCACTTGGGGTGGATGTCGCTGGAACAGCCAGATAAATTCTTGCCAATTTAGATAGTATGGGAAATTTTTTTGAATATAAGTCCCATCATATCAGGAAGTCTTTTTTGAGACTTATTTCAGGTTGTCTCATATATTCATCAATTTCATTAGCTGATGGATGATCTTCTTTTTCTAATGATCTTAACAAATATGGTGTATATATTGGATTTGTAGTGACTATAAATTCATCAGGTGTTTTGTTTTTCAAATTATGAGTGTTGTTGTCAAGTTCTTCATCTTGATCCATTTCCATAGTTTTTTCATTATCATATAATTGTCTAAGAAAATTTTTAACAGCCACTCTGTTTATACTATTCATATAATCAAGAGATTTAAGACATGGATCCAATAATGCGGACAGTAATTCTTGTGGCATAGGATCAGGATAGTAATAACATAAAATTTTATAAAAATTATGTTTTACTTTTTCTAAAAGACCCGTAGTATCTACTGGTGTATTTAATTTGATTCGTGGTTGTTGAGTTTGTGGTTCTTCTTCTTCATGATTATCAAATGCATCATATTCTTTGATATTATCATAGTATAATTCATTTTCATTTATTTGATTTGGTTTGAAAATGTTTTTTATTTCTTTTATAACCCGATGCATAAGACTATGCGTCGCATAATAAGAGCCACCCAAATATCTTGTTGCCTATAAATTAATTTTAATTAATAAAGTAATTATACATATAATACAATTTAATAAAAGCTTTACTTACTTCTTTGAAAGGTCCAAGAACTTGTAAGAGTTCTTTTAATAATTCCCATTCTGAATTTGTTAAATTAATTTCCTGTAACCTCTTTGCATCTTTACGTTTCTCAGAATTTTCATATGTTGCACGATAAATAATAAAAAGTTCGATATACACTTTAATTTGAACCAATCAAATCCATGCTAAATAAGAACTATTCCACTGAGTTTTACAATCTGAGATACAATTAACTAAATATTCAGTAGTTTCTCTAGCATTCTATAATTATATTAAAAAAATTAGAACAGTAAAAATAGTTTAATAATATTTAATAATAATATTTACCACACGTATCATATTTGGATTTTTTTTTTTGAATTTCTTCTAGCTATTCTGATTGTTTAGGATATAAAAAAAAATCAATTAAACATTTTGCGCGAGCAATTAAAGACTCTACTGGTAGTAATGCCTTTCCTATTACTAATTGTAATGTATGCGAACAACAATGTTGCTACATAACTTTATCCATGTTCAAGAAGTTTTTTTCATGTTCGAACTACTATTAGTAGTTATAGAATATACTTTTCCACTAAGATCCCAATATTTAAGAATTTTTTCTACAGTTTCACAAATATGGACAGCTGTATATGAATAACGAATATATTGAATTGCAAGAGTTACTTCCTTTAATTTAAATTAACAATCGATATAAGAGCATGTGATTTCAAGATAACCTTGTCGATTTCTGGCTGTCCAGAAATCTATCGTAAGTGAAACTTTAAGCACATTTTGTTTAATATGTTCTTGCAAAAGAGGGACCGAATAATTATAGGCTCGATGAATGATTTGTTTAATCAGTTTAACATCAGAAATTAAAAATGCTAGATCAGGTCTATTTATAAATTGATGGAAGGCTTCATTTTGAACAATAATCAAAGGACGTGAATCTGTTATAAGCCAATCAACGAGTAATTGTTGTAATTCTTTTTGTTCTTTTTCATCATGAGGCAAAATAGATCTTTGTGTCTAAATTATATTAATTAAATTTAATATTACTATTTGACAAATTTAATATTAATATTAACTAATTAATATAACAATATACCTTTTTAGGATTCTGATCCGATTTTGTTACGCCGTGTTCAGCACTTAAATGTCCAGTAAGATTACCGGTTGAGGATCCAGTTTTGTATGTTCTTCCATATTCTTTACCATTTAATACCTCGATTTTACATATTGAATATGTTATCCATTTATTGTTTTGTTTGCAAAGTTCTTGCTGGTAAAATAACCACACCCAACTAGGCTTTTTGATACGTCCAAATGAAGAACTTCTTCCTCAGAAGCTTCGTTAATTTTAATTAAGCCAGAAACATTAGAATCAGATATATTTCGTTTTTTGGAAGCAGACATTTTTTAATAAAAGTGTTAATAATAAAAGTAATAGCAAGGATTTATTATTTATTATTAATGATAAAAATAATACGCGATGATTTATTGTTTAATTTATAACCACTGATTAAACGGATGATCGGATAACTGACAGATAATTAAAGTCTATCCGAGCATAATTACTTTTTTGAATAGTTTAGTTAATATCTGTGTAGGATCGGATAGATAATTGGATAGTTAGGATTTTAAGACTACGGATCGCTACTCTAGTCAGAAATAAAGTTGGTCGACAAATAATAATACGTACGTACGTACGTACGTAAATTAATAAACTGTTCTGGAATTAGATAACAACATTACACGACACTTTATATTGTTTATATATCGGAGATAAAATCCCGTTGTACTAAATTCATACGTCTTTCAAAATGATTATGTTACCAAACGAATGTCTTCTTGAAATATACCAGGAACGGAGTTTGTACAACGTACAACGTAGTGTATGGTTTACAGGCAAGTTAATATGCGTGTGTGATTCTCAGCACTTAATTGGTCTGCGTGACTCTGTTCGTCACATATTGTTATGCGTTGCCTATTTTTCGCATGCCAT